CCCAGCCACAGATTACTGTTTACAAATATTTGCAGGAATGAGTGATGGAAAAAACAGACAATTTCAATTACACGAAAAATAAACTCGGTTTAATTTCTTTTGTCCCTCAGTTCATATAATTATATTCTGTACATTTGTCTTACATGTTTCCATATATCCCTTGTTGTTTGGCCCATGTCCTATTAAAATGTAACCAATAATTTGCTTCCGCTTGCGTGATCAGGAACATCGTACTCCAAATAAATATTGCACAGACAATTAGGAAAATTAGTAATAGTCTCAAATTAGTGTCTTTCGGATTGTACAAATTGGCTCAACTCTGCCTTGAAAATATAAGGAATTAGTTCGAAATTGCTATTGGTCAGTAAAGTTTACCTGAAATACATTAGAGATTCCGAGCTGATAGAAGAAGGGCACGAAAACTCTGGCAGCCATCACACAACCAGTAGCCACAGCAGCACCAAACCAAATCACCATAGTATTACTTCTGTACACCTCCACAGGCGCCCCCAGCAATGATAAAGCCGAAAGGTATGTCACCAGCAATGACATTGACACGGGTATGTAGTGCATGCGACGCCCGCCTAAATGGTACTCCTTCATATTGCTATGATGGCGGTCCTTGATGGCGTAGAAGACACCGATGGCGGCAGAACACACTAACATGGCGGCTGTAAGGATGTAGTCAGGCACTCCGAAAGTTTTAAGCTTTCCTGTGTCAAAGCTATACTTTCCTTCCACCCTCTTGATGAAATCACCAGGCACAGATATGTTTTCTAGAATATTTGAAACAACGCGAGGCAATATAGTTTAATCGCTTTCAGTATTGGCGAATAATTCTCAATTTTGTCTCATTCAAAATTTCCACATTCTTTTCGCTACTTTTGGATTTTTTTCACCGTTTAAGCTCGTCAATAGGATTGTACTTATGTGCCGTTATTGCCTTTGGCATTAGACGAAATAGGAACTGGATAACTGAATAGTAGATTTAGCGTGCATAACAATTTAGCGTGAAGAAAATAAAAAAGCATGTGGTGTCGAAAGTAGAATGTAGAGAAAAGTTTAAAACGGAATGTAATATTCCCTATCGGTAGCACCTACACATTACCTATTGATAGTTAGTACAAACTAAAAGAAAAATGAATGAGATGTAATAGCCCCCCTGGCGCTTTGAAAAAGATACAAGAAGACGAAACGTACCGAAAATTTTGGCCACTAAGTCCTGTTTTTGAATTTTGCATATTACACACAAGTGATAACATATATATGTATAGGTTCACAGAGCAATGCCCCTCCAAAACCTGTTAATAATAGACGCAGAATCAGCAGAAATTACAAGATAAATGCCAAATGACCCTGAGGCACTCCTAATCACCAAGTACATAAGCCAAATGTTCTATCAAGTGAAAATCTTTAGCCATCAACTAATATGATGGAATTGAGGATAGGTGAAGGGAGAGTACGGTTGAATCTCAGTGTAATATTCCTATTCTTATTATATGGTAAAACATTAATTAAACTACATTTGGTAAAGCAGTTTCTGAGATTATCTTTTCCTAACATCGTCAACAATGGTTAGGTGAATGCTTAAGATGGCACAATAAAGAAACGCACAATAAGTGTCATTTTTTAACGTTACTGCGTGATCACAGCCTTACACTGAAGTATTTATTTTCTTTGGCCATTATACTTATTACTCTTGTTAAAAGATTAAATCCGTAATCCATTGTTGTGCCACATATCTTACCAAAAGGACATCTGTCTTGGATTGATGTTTGAATATTTTCCACAGGAGAACATCATTTTATTTCTACAGAAACTAGGGTTTTCAAGTTTATGTCATGAACAAACCAAAGTATAGTTTAAAACATTTTGAGAGATGTTATTCCCTTTAGGCCTTGTGCTTCCTGGTAAGATGATTTTTTATGATCTTTTCATTTCACTAACATGAACAAATCTCACTCGGCATACCATTGTATGTTGCTACACGTCATTTCAATGGTTCAGATTCCTACACCTTGCAGTGTGAGTTTTTAAAAGAAGGGTCTTGAATTGTTTTTACTATTTGAATAGTATTACAGAAATATATTTATCTTTCAACACTTCAGAAACATGTACGTTTTCATAAAATATTAAAAACATTCATTTTAGATCATTAGGAACGTAGACAAAATTAATGACGACCACAAAAACTAAAGCCAAAATGTTATTAACATATATGCCATATGAATAAAGATATGTACACAACTAGCTTCTCTTGCAGAAATACACAATTTAGTCCCTTGAGCAAAATATATTGTTTGAATAGTCACTGTTGGTTTTTTAAAATTGTTAACATCCGCTCACACAGTCTGCGAGATTATAATCTAGCAATGCACCGAAGAGAAATTATCACAATAGCTGCAAATTTGCCCCGCATAATGTATAATATATATGAAATATAATTTATATAAAACATTATTGCATTAATTCCTGTTGAGATGAACCATGTACTTGAAGAAAAGGCGCAATTAACATTTTTTGGGTGTGAAAATGCTATTTAAGTATAAAGATTCAATTGTATATACATTACTGACTTGTGCGTTGAAGATCGACAGCAGCTACCAATGTTCCTTTCCTTTTGGGGCGATCCTTGACAATGTCAGACAGAACGTCCCACATTATAGTAAAGCAATCCACTGCATGAACTTATATACACATAGAAAACAACGCTTGAAATGATATTATTTGAATAACTTTATTCACGTCTGAAGTCTGCACATACTGATTATGTAAATGTTATTTCCCATAACGAATCTGATTGAAAGATACTTTTGTTCGCTAGTCTCGCTTCTGTTAGCTTGAGCCACGACGGGCAGTTTCAATTACAAGGCTTCGTTAAATTCACTTTATTGTAAATTCACGGTCGCTTAATATGACTGCGATACACACGATACGTAGGCCCCTAGTTCCACATGACTGCCGTGTGAAAGTACCAACACGTGAGAGTTTATAGGTGAATACAGATACCAGTTGTGAGCTATATGTACTTCAGCTGAACTTTGAGAGGTCGAGGGGATGACCTGTGGTTAAAGCGTTCGCTCGGCACGCAAAAGACATGGGTTCGATTCCCAACATGGTTGCAGTGTGTGAAGCCCCTTTCAGGGATCCGAATCCGTGATATGGTTGGAGCATTGCTAAATGCATTCTCACTGTAGGTGTAGATAAGTGAAATTGGGAAACCCCATGCGAGTCAATTGTTTCCCAATCTTAATCTGTTTCTTTATGCATATGAAACGGAATGTCTGTTTAAGATGGCAAAATCATAACCAGGGAATTGAAGTTTAACTCTGACAACGCTCATTATATATAGCCAATTCCCTTCTACTGATTTATCAATATGAAACACATATAAAATAGACTACCGAGACCACCTCATCTTCTTTATATTTACATGTATGCAAAAACATTCAGACTGACAAACTATCTCAATGCCAAGACTGTATGACAAGAGGGATTACTTCAACTTTCCAATGGTCAACTTTCCCTTCATATCGAGCAATATTCCACCGTTATGCGACGCTTGCTCAAAAAAGGGTTCAATCAGGGTTACGGCATTCAAAGCCTATTAGAAACTTACTACAGGTTTTTTAAAGATGTGTGGTAGTGACTGTTTTTAGACTGGTCATTACGTTTCCAGCGCTAGCTTACTGTGATACCATGCTGCAGTTTAACATCTCTTTCATCTGATTATGGCTAGGGTACATTTCAGTTTATAGAAACGTACCTGGTTACATATCTGTAGTACCCGTGCCGAAAACGACCCTTTCAGCCTTCTTTACTCACTGTACAGATTTGTTTTGCTTTTGGTACGTCCTTGTCAACATGCCACCAGTGATATTCATAGCATGACTGCTGACAGTGCCACATGATTATCGCAGTGAAAAAGTGGAACAGAGACGTTTGACAAGTTCTTAATTCTGGATATGCACAAAACCTTTCGGGGACATGTTTGGCTGGGAGAGGGAGGGGCATCTCTACACAATAAACAAACAACATCAAGCGAAAAGAGCAATGTTTCTTAAAAAGACATGTCCGAGGGAATATGTCACATCAATATTTCAGATTCAACAGCACACAGTAATGATAATATTATAAGTATAAAGGGGAACATAAGGAGATGTCACTCTAGACCACAATCAACCAAGTCAGCCAAAATGTTTACCCCAGTTGGCTTTACGCTGTTATCGTCCAGAAATAGTACATTAAGCTATTGTGATATTACTAAATTTGATAAGCAACGAATCACATTGTGCTGTTCAATAATGCACACTATTGATCTGAATTATCATAGTTAAAGCACGTGTACTTATGTGAATCTGTCTAGGGTTAAAAAACCCATCATCTATATTCGTAAAAAGAAAACTGCTTTGTATATAATCAAATTGAATCATCTATCCTTAAATACTCCACGTATCAACTCTTTCATTGTACTCAATTGTGTAAACAAAAACATTTTATGGTAGACATGTGGAGTACAATAATTTTCAAATTTGACACGTAGGTGATGTGTGATGTCCATGCAATTCCCTGTTTTGTTTGGAATATGTTTTCGTGTCTGTTTTTCTGGTGAACGATTGACTTGCCTTTGCGTGTATTTGTGGCGGGTGTCAGTTGTGGGGAAGGATGTGCTCAATGATTCGCGAACACCTGGTATCATCACTATTTGAAAGTAATTAAGAAACACATGCCCGGAATATAATCGGAATCGTACATAACGTTGAAAGGGTTTTGTCCATTTTATTTACATGTGCCTGAAGCAATGGCATAACAATATGTGAAGTTGGATAACCAGTGGGTATTTTCGCATACACTACACTGTAAGTCATAAGAAACAAAATCCTTTCGAAACTCCAACAATCTGGCACAGAATATTTATGGCAACTGAATACATTCCAGTTTTGGTGGGATATTCAATCTACACCATGTGCTTTTCATACAGATTCAATTATATATGGTTTCTACAATTTTTTGTTCCAAGTTGTATCTTCAGCGTGTCCACTCTTGTTCTCTGCCAAGTCACGTAAAGGTATGAACTTCTCATTCATCCCGGACACGTCTACATCCTGATCTGGATCTGCTACAGCATATTTCTAGAAACACAAATGAGTTCAGGTAAAAAAAACCGGTTGGTATATCTCTTCAAAATTCTATATGATTTCTCCATTATCATATATTCCAGAAAATGTTGATGTCATTTTTCAAATGGCAAATATACTTTGATGAGCACAAGTCAATTGGATATACTTTGCGGAAAGCACCAAATGGATTTCTTTCAAGACAATTGTCTTATTGTGCATTTTGCTTTCAATCGCAAGACTCACCCCTTCATGGACGATGCCAAATCGGAGAGGTTTGAGAACACATTCTGGCAAGAAGGGGAAGAGCATGTCAAACAAAGGACAGATCAGGCGAGGTTCCAGGGACTCAGACTTGACCGGACCTATGTAAAAATGCGTCATTCAATGTGTCATATACATGTCTGCCTTTTGGGAAATGATATTATCATTGTAATGAAACAGTAACGGATATGCAAGATACTATGATAATGCACAGTAAACCTTTATCAATTAGTGTTAAAAAAAGACACTCGGGTTATATTCTATAATATCTTATGTACATCTTGATTTCCCGGTCTTCCATATACCTCTGTCAACACATAATTCTTTCCTCTCGAGATATCACCTCTAAGGTGGTCCTTTATATCCAACCAATGTCTCAAAAGCCGAATAATTGGGGAGATCAGGAGCCTTTACATGGCTGATTGCACCGATACCGTGAATGGATGCAGGTAGAATAGGTCTTCAGCAACCGATGCTTGTCGTAAAAGGCGACTATACTTGTCGTAATAGGCGACTAACGGGATCGGGTGGTCAGACTCGCTGACTTGGTTGATACATGTCATCGTATCCCAATTGCGTGGATCGATGCTCATGATGTCAATCACTGGATTGTCAGGTCCAGACTCGATTATTTACAGACCGCCCTTTTTAGCTGGAATATTGCTAAGTAAGGCGTTAAACAACAAACAAAAACACATCATGATGGCGGTCATTGGTTTATATGATACTGACTTGATTTATATGCAGGCAATCGTTAAAGCTTGAATACTTCTGCCTGTGGTATTAAAAATCCTTCACTAACTCACTCACTCATTCATTTTCTCAAAGACTGTCCTCGATTAGCGACCAAACTCCTCTTGTGATTTCCAAAAGGCAATTAAGTTAACTTTTAAGTAAATCAGAGGCAACTGGCGATATACATATACTCTGTATCCCCATGGTGCAAAGGGTCAGAAGTGCCTGTTGCAAACCACTATTTGGGAGGTCTAGCATCCCAATCTTACATTATAATTGTTTATTCAAAGGTCATATGTGTCACATACCTGTCAAGAAACTGACAATGGAGCCGACAATGGTGACAACAAACAAAGCAACCAGTGAGTAGTAGAGGTAGGACAGGCGATACATCGGGTAGAAGGGGTCGCTGTAAACAAAATCAGGAGATCTGGAAACTAAAGAAACTTTCCCCAGATGACATTCCCCGTTTACTATCACCAAACGTCGTGAGAAGAACGCCTTTCTACTACTCATATGGATAATCTAAAAGAAGCATCTCCACATGAAAGTGTCTACTTCTTACATCAAGAAACTAAACGAGCAGCTCGCAGTGAATATTTGTCTCATACTTGTATCAAGAAACCAAACGAAGCATCTCCATGTGACAGTTTGTCTACTACTTGTATCAAGAAACTAAAAGAAGCATCACCATGTGACAGTTTGTCTACTACTTGTATCAAGAAACCAAAAGAAGCATCTCTATGTGACAGTTTGTCTACTACTTGTATCAAGAAACTAAAAGAAGCAACTCCATGTGACAGCTTGTCTACTACTTGTATCAAGAAACCAAAAGAAGCATCTCCATGTGACAGTTTGTCTACTACTTGTATCAAGAAACCAAATGAAGCATCTCCATGTGACAGTTTGTATACTACTTGTATCAATAAACTAAAAGAAGTATCTCCATGTGAAACACATGTCAATCACTTAAATCCAGAAACAAATACTAAGAATCTTCCGATCTTCCGTCTAAAGTCAGCATACTCTTTATATTAGGTAATGCATGTATTTGTTTCGTCTGTGCAAAGCTTGTGCCATAACTTTGAAGATGCAACTGTATTTGTGTTAAACTAATATATGCTTACACGTATAGTCAACTTAATATCAGTTTAGTTGTATAACAGACACTAATTTGTTGTCGACATGATAGGTATACAGATAAAAAGACATTAATAATGTGTCAATAAATCATTAAATAAATATTTGTTGATTGGTATATGTTACGACCAAGGAACATACTCAGGCGTTGTATTTGACATGTTCTTTGAATCATGTGACGTCAGAGCCTCTGTCGTAGTTGTTGGGGTTATGTTGTTAGAGGTGAAGGTAGCGTTCCAATTGCAGCCGTGAGTTAAAAATTTGACTCCATGCGACGTTGACATGTGCACGAAGCTTCCGAAACAAATCCATCCTGTGATAAGAATTCCAGTCAAGTAACCGCTCAGCGCCCCCTTCGATGTTTAAAAGAAATCAAATGAAATGCATCATTACATATAACAAAGCAAAACAAATTTCGTTAATAAATAACATATAATACATCCCTGAACATTAAACTAGGCCTAAGTATGGTCGTCATCAAATACACAAGGAACGTTTGATGAACAATTCGATGGAAATGTGAGTGTGTGAGTAATGTATCTCCAAAGGGGAATTATATTCAACCACTGAAAATGTTTCATATTGCTGTTTAATATTTTCGATCACTCGTGCAGTAATGACTTAGGATTACACCACAAGCGAATTTTGCACATCATGTGACTTTTCTCTTGTTTGTAAACACACGCGCTAATTCTGAAATCAGACCAATCCGGCCAAATGAAAGATTTTCAGTGAATTTTTACAGGTTGTTTTGTATAATTTTACAGATATGCTTGTACAACTACAAAGGTGAGGCGCATGACCATCCATCTTTATTCATCAAAGTGACGGTATCGCTAGCTCCCCGTAGGGATTTGAAGTCTCCACGTAGAACCGTATAATCATTGTAAGCAGCGGATAAATACGCAAATGAAACAGTTTTCATTTTGTAGAATATTTTCTTAATGTAAGTTCACCATTTCAGGATGAATCTGTGTTCTAATTTCTAGACTTTCTGACCAAAAAAATACACTGTGTAAGATTCGACGAATCGCGATGGCTTGTGGCAAAGGTACTACAATGTAGGTTGAAGGCAAAAAACTCTGGGTAGGAGAGTATTTTATGTCGTCTTTGCTGAAGGAAGCTTGGTCTTAGCATTAATAGTTTACCGTCCATTGATAGAATGATTTCATAATAACCTGCTAGAAAAGTTTTTGGTACATATAAACCTTGTTATTTCTTATGTATCGTAGGAGTATGAACTATTTATTGATAATCATGTTACATGTCGGATCAGTGAATAATATATATGTCACCTTTCCATTCGCCCATGGGCAAAACATTGCAAGACAAAATAAGCCCACCATGGGTCCGTTCAGGACTGGAATTATCATTAGGGAAGCCTGAAACACAAAACATAAGCTCTGTAATTTACACAAATCGATATGACTAATTGAAACGGTATTGAGTGAGTGAGTGAGTGAGTTGGGTTTAACTCCGCTTTTAACAGTATTCTAGTTATATCACGGCGTGTCAGCTTAATGGGGGAGGAAAGCCCGAAGTGATGCAGGTCTCAGACGTTTACCACTTCGGTGAAACCCACGAGCACGGGTATGGTGCTGACAAACCTAGAAACATAATCGGGGCGAACCGGGATTCAATTTCAATTTCAATTTCTTTATTCAACGTACTGAGGAGGCCACAGGCCTATAGTACAATCATGACTACAGGAGCAATTGGTACAATCATATAAGTTCCAAACTTGATTTTCTTTGTATAAAAGCATGATATAAAAGCACGAACCGGGATTCGAACCAACAATCATAGGTTTCTCGCGTGCCCAAGGGACGCAACTCTGCACAGCGAATCGCCGCGCCTTAGACGACTGGGCCACCCGTGCCCCTCGAAACGGTATTGTATATGTGGAACTGCGCTTTGTTCCTAAGAAACATGATACTAATGCATGGTCACCTGAAATATTGCACCAAGCTGAGAGATGATGAACGATGCACAGATAACCGTTACTCCACAAACAAGCACTGGGTAAACAAATGTCAAAAGACTTGTTAATGTACGAAATGAATACATTGATATATGCTATTCAGATGCAATTGAAAACAACCAATTCCTTCATATTTCTATCGCTAATCTGTCATGGAATCGGGTGTTCTTTAACTTCTTTTAAGAAGTATGCATGCATTTGTGATTGATATCAGTTATATGGTTCATAGTATTTTTCGCGTTGTTTATGGATCAATTTATGGATATATTAAGAGTATTTATATTGGACTGGAGTCATTATGTCCTGGGGCATTGTTTTATCACGGCCAAACTGACAGATAGAAACCAATTCATGCATTACCTGAAACTTTAGCTAGTCTCATTTCTCCTTTATCTGAGAGGTGCTTCAGGCAGTATGGCTTGATGAGTTGATCCGGGATCACAGTGCCGAGAGCGTTCAGCATACTCGAAATCGTGCTGCAGATAAAGAGAAAAACAGAAAAAAACTTAGATATTATGATGCGTACTTGTACACTACTGATCAAAACGATGCAGTTTGTTTTCAACACATAACGGATAATGTAATATGATGTAAAAAGATTGCACAACCATGTCAAGATATAAACGTGATTTTTGGAATCTTATCTGGCAACTCATACTGTTCACAATTTAACCTGAAATACAATTCGTCCCTGCTGCTCCAGCACAGTATGTACCTGAGACTTCCACACAGTATGTACCTGAGACTCCCACACAGTATGTACCTGAGACTCCCATACAGTATGTACCTGAGACTCACACACAGTATGTACCTGAGACTCCCATACAGTATGTACCTGAGACTCACACACAGTATGTACCTGAGACTCCCACACAGTATGTACCTGATACTCCCATACAGTATGTACCTGAGACTCCCATACAGTATGTACCTGAGACTCCCACACAGTATGTACCTGAGACTCACACACAGTATGTACCTGAGACTCCCATACAGTATGTACCTGAGACTCACACACAGTATGTACCTGAGACTCCCACACAGTATGTACCTGAGACTCCCACACAGTATGTACCTGAGACTCCCATACAGTATGTACCTGAGACTCCCATACAGTATGTACCTGAGACTCACACACAGTATGTACCTGAGACTCCCATACAGTATGTACCTGAGACTCACACACAGTATGTACCTGAGACTCCCACACAGTATGTACCTGATACTCCAACACAGTATGTACCTGAGATTCACACAGAGTATGAACCTGAGACACCCACACAGTATGTACCCGAGACTCTCACACATTATGTACCTTATACTTCCACACTTTATGTACCTGAGACTCCCATACTTTATGTACCTGAGACTCTCACACATTATGTACCTGAGACTCGCACACAGTATTTACCTGAGACTTCCACTCAATATGTACCTGAGACTCCCAACACACTCTGTACCTGACACTCACACAAAGTATGTACCTGAGACTCACACACAGTATGTACCTGACACTCCCACACAATATGCACCTGAGACTCCCACACAGGATGTACCTGAGACTCCCACGTAGTATGTACCTGAGACTCCCACACAGTATGTACCTGAGACCCACACACAGTATATACCCGAGACTCCACAACAGTATGTACCCGAGACTCCCACACGGGATGTACCTGAGACTTACACACAATATGTACCTGAGACTCCCACACAGTATGTACCTGAGACCCCCACACAATATGTACCTGAGACTCCCACACAGTATGTACCTGAGACTCCCACACAGTATTTACCTGAGACCCACATACAATATGTACCTGAGACTCCCACACAGTATGGAGGATATTATGAGTCCTGGCAGCGCCGGCACATCTCCCAGGATGTCCATCACCATCAGGGGAAGCAGCTGCAGATAAACATGTTTCAAGTTACAGGATACTCTATAATGCGTTTAAGGAAAATGATTTGCTCATCATAACTATTAGAGTAATTACAATTAGAGGTAGATGCTTTGTAGAACATGACCCTTCAACGCATTTCTCAAATCAATAATAGCTCAATGTGTTCCATTATAAAATATAAAACAGAATGTTTACTTGAAGTTATATTTTTAGACTGTAGTGACTATGTGGAGTCCCGTCAATAACACGATCCTAAAGATTTGAACTACTGATGAGTTAAAGCCCGGCAAGACATTATGAGGTAGTCAAGTGACGATTTGTTTTCCTTACATGTAGATCCTTCATTCACTTTAATAACAGTACAGCCAATACCGCAAACAATACATTTGAAAGATACATGGTTACATGATCAGTTTCCAACCACCAAATATACAAACCCCTGTAGTGTTATATGGGTGTGCGTTTTATTGTTTAACAATGATTGCAACTGTGATACAATGCTTCTGTTGAGATTCGATAGACGCTCATCGCATCGTGTTTGGACAGTGATCAGGATGTTACTATAATTAAATGCTAGTGGGTGTGTAAAATTCCGGTCCGTATACCCTGATAATATGTTTCCGAATTTCTATAATACTAGTGTTCTATGTGGTGAGGGCACGGTATAGAAAGTTCCCGTAACTTGTTATGCTGTATATTTAGTGGGACAAGAGCGTGTTTACGTATTTCTTACACATTTCGTCTCTCACGCTTTTCATCGCTTCAAAACCAGCTTTCATGTGATGATCGCTCATCATCACTGATTCCCTGTCCAGCGCATCTCAGAAGACCACTGTCGACCACTGGGTGAATATATATTATTATCAGTGACTTTTGCTATCGCCACTGTAATTGTGTATTTGATACTGACCACTGCCATCACATTATTTATTGCCATTGAATATTGCATGGCAACTCTATTGCATACTGCCATTGTAATTGCCGTGCAGTACTATTATGTTGATTTGTAAACATAGTTAAGTCTTGCAATACATGTTTTGATTGTACAGCATTTGACGTTTGTTTATTGGTTACACACTAGGTTCTTTTACGTACAGATATCTGGGTTAACATATTGTTGAAGAATTTGAGAATCGACGCGTAACAGTAGACATACACATTCGTGCATTAATGGGAGTAAACTTACTGGATATTCCTTTAATATATGACATACGAATGGTATTCATTTTTCTGCTGTTATTTTTCACCATGTAAGGATACACATGTTTTATTGTGGCAAAAAAAGTAATGGGCATTCGATTATTTGATACGGGTATCATAGTTTCGTTTTGGATCTTAAGTTCACACTTGTTATGGAGATTGTTTTCAGCCTAGTAACTTTTTTAAAGCGTTTGTATTGTTTTGGTCAAATCAAGTTTTCAAGTGCATTCTTTCTTTTCACCGTCTGTTTATGCTATGTATATAATAATTAACGTATACTCTAGGGACCGGCCTAGAAATACCTGGAATTATATAACTCTGCCATACGCGATGTGTGTCCTTTCTTACCTGGTCGTCCTTGTCTATGATGTTAAAGCTGACGGGGTGACAGTCGCTGTAAAAGGCGAACATTATGATTCCAACCATCACCAGGAGAACGTACACCAAGAAATAACCCACTGCGTTGATGCCAAGAGCCCTGAAAAACCACAAGAACTTCATATATGTGTTTGATGTAATTAATGTTATGGTATATGCAGGTTACAAGCCAAATGTCAAGCTTCGTTTCCGACCTGCGTGCCGAACATTCTGAATCCTCCACAACTTGTGAAGTATATATCACAATTTGAAATGATAGTTGTGTGACGTATTGTCGTATTATTTCTGGATGAGTGAGGTGTTCTTAACTCCGCTTTGAACACTGATTTAGCGGTAGACGTTTACTACATTGGTGAAATTGGTGAGTATTGTGCTTACGAACCCTCGATTAAAGCGTCACACTGTCTATAAAATTGCCGGTTGTATAATGGGCTAGATTCAACCACGTCTCGCTGACAGTGTCCTTCCATCGCGCAAGATTACCAGGCTACAACTTCTAAACGACCCCCTGAGCTGCTAGATAAGGGTAAAGCGGCCGGACAATTCATCACGTTATCTGTAAACCTGGAGTTTTGTGAACGCTGACGTGTTGGGTCGGGCATTGTCCCTGCTGTAGCACAAATGGAATGTTACTTTGTCCCATGGCAGATTACTAAAGAATTTGACCATACTTTTCTATGGGTAACTCCCATCATAAAGACACCACCCAATACTGCCAGACACGGTGATACTTTAGAGCCGCCTCCCTCCTCAGGATCACTTCACAGGTGTTCTGTGGACCTGGAACACTGACTCATCTCTTAAAATCACATTATCAAAACGTTCAGGGAATTTACCAGAACGCCAGGCCAGGCGTTTCAGAAGAAAGGGTTTTTCCGTGGAACTGATTTCCAGTAGTAAATGTCATTAAGAGTTCTACCTACTGCCTAACCTGATGCCAAAGGACGCCCCCTTCTCCAAGTTTCCAAACCGGTTTGTTCAGCGGACCACATTGTATGAGCGAGGGCAAGCTGAATACACGTCTGTTCATGTATCACTGCCTGAGCCAAACGGTTTTTAGTTTAGCGTAAACAGAAGGGAAAGGAAAGCCGACCGTGCTATGCAACTCGCGATTAGGTAGACACAATTTTAAGGATAACAACTTCTTCAATACTGTGAAAAGCGACGTTTCGGTATAGATCCTTATACCGTTGTCAAGCAGGACAAGTAAACAAGTTAACTCGATATTAGTTTTGCAGAGATAAAAGAGACGGTTTCTTTTGTCAAATTCTGGCCTGTTCGCGGATCTTAGAAACAGTAGTCTGCTCCTGCATCATCGCGTGGCTTGCACTATCAACAAGGGAGATGACCGCCATACAAATATTCAAGGGTCAAAACAAAGTTGGTTGTACCAGAACATTAATCTTTTAAAGATTTACCACACAGATTTGTGCACAGTGCTATACAACAGAAAGTACTACGCGCCTGATATTTTAGAATTATTTCAAAAATGTGTACATTTAGGGAACCATTTGTTTAGGGAACCATTTGTGGGAAACGAAACAGAAGACGCTTTTGGTCACCATACAGTTGAATCTAACAGTCCAGAGGTGTAGGGATGGACTCGTCAATTGGTCATCCGTTTCTAACAGCTGTGCCGTGTCAGGCAGAATCCCATCTTCCCGAGGCAAGTGAGTTAACTGACTATAAAAGACCCTTGCCGAACTAGGCTGGAATCCCTGGGCTCGATCGTAGCGTCACCAGTGGCTATTACGAGTTACGAGTTATGTCCTTTCTATGCCTCTCCTATTTACCAATCAGATTCAACCTCTCGTATCACTTGCATTTGCTTCAAACAAAACGGTGGCGCCCAGTCAAGACGATCTGATTGATAATCAAGATCTATATTGTGATAAAACGAGTCTTACATCGTCAAGTGCATCAAATCACGTGAGCACCTTGATTAAAAGCATGAAAAGATTTAGAAAATATCTGTTGACAACGAGTTAGCGGTGCACTTGCTTCGAAAATCCTGCAGTCGACCGAACTCTGCATGACACTTTACGAACCGGATTTCGATTTCGGAGCGCGATTTTGATTGGACGATGCATAGACTCGTTAGTCCAGCCAAAATGTAACTCCATAATACCAGCCTGGTTCGGCAAGGGTGGAAACTGGACTTTTAAAGTCAGTTAACTCTCTTGCCTCGGGAAGATGGCATAATCCTAACACGTACATTGTGTGAGTGTGAGTGTACTGTTACCGGTAATTTTACGCCCAATCTAACCTGTTTCGGCGGATAATTAAGACAAATCTTTTCTGACGTTCACGTTATATATTTACAACAACGGAACAGCGATTGGGGATCATGTTCCAGTAGGCCAAGGCCCGACTGCATACCGCCAGAATCACCATAAACGTCTTTAACTGTCATAAACTTGATGTGTTGCCATGGCCAGTCTGCTCTTCTGATTATGCCCCATTGAATTTCTCTGACCATCTAGGGAACCTGGAACAGCCTCTACATGACCAGTGCAGACAGATCACCATTAATGTCATCCAGCGGCTTACGTTTAACATGTGATGACGCTTACTGGCTGGAATCAATGCCATTGGATGTCATACCATATAATGAAATGTGTTGCCGTCGACGGTTGTGACGATGAACTGTTGACTTTCAGAGATAAAATCGTGATTCCTGTTTCAGAGTGAATCTGTTTTCACACTTTGAGTTTGTGTGACTGCAGCTCACTCCTTAAATACAGAAGCTACAGAGTTTGTTAGTGTCATGAACAGCTCTGAAACGTTTAGTTGCTTTTGATTTTTAGAAACATAATCAGGGTGTGTACTTTCTTTGTACTTCAGTTTATGTCGTAAGCCATGATATTTATATGAGTTTATGTGAACCTTACATGCTGTGAAGTATATTGTTGTTGTTGTTTGCATAACAGAAATTTCATTCTTACAAACAAAAAAGGGTGGCCTAGCAGTCGTTGGCGCCAACCAGTGTCAATTAGTTGCCAGGATCCGCCGATCAAGTGTTTGATTCCTAGATTCACTCGGCTGGTGGATCATGGTCTGACAGCACGTTCTCGGCCTCGATTCACCAAAGGCCTCCTACGTCAAGCCGACTCGCCAACTCGACTCTCGTACACTCCCACAACTTACATCTTAGCGCCTCTGAGACTTGAACAAGATAATGCCCTCTGAACCTCCGCTTGCTGGGTTCCATAAGAACCCACCCACATGGTCCCAGCTCCAAATACATATGCCCACACCGAATGCGTGGTTTTGGGATCGAAGCTGAATCTACAAAGGTGACGAATCAATCTTTCAATGTACATGAAACTGCTAAATAATGAGTCAACGTTCACTTTTACTGATTCAAAATCACACACTAACGTCAATACAATACATTAAACAGGAAAACGTACTCTGATACTGACCAAATGGTATGATAAGACAAACTCCGAAGGGAACAAAGAGTGCAATGAGGATTCGTTGTCAAGCATACGTAGATACCAGTATATATTCTTGGTTTGACTTCTATGTGAACTACATTTCGAGATAAAGAGACTGTCCTACTCATCAAACTTGATCCGGGATCTCTTCTCTGCTATGCCCCAGGCGTTACTGAAACCACCAACAGCTGCAGAGCCTTTAACGACGAGGACGATGCACCCAATGACCATGATGCTACCTTGGAGCGTGTCCGTCCACAACACGGCCTTCATACCACCCTAGAGTCAAAGAGGAGTTGCAGTAGTCGTATACACAAGAAGGTGTGCTCAATTATAGAAATTGTGAGATATATGAGAACCTTTTGTCATCGGGAATCCATAAATGTGGTATGCATGACGAAATGGGAATATATTCATATCATGACACCCCACGGGTGACAAACCTACCCCGGGAAGTCAACGGATGGCATTAATTGTGTAGTGTACTGGTTATGTAATCTAGTCGGGGAATCCAAAGGGTTGCATGCATGGTATAGTATACTGGGGTAATAATAGGCCATGGGAATACCCACAGGTGGCATGCAAAGTGTCGTGCACTGGGGACGTAATCTACAATTGGATTCCAACGGGTGCCATGCTTTGTGTGGTTTGGGCATAATATACAACGGGAATCTAACGGTTGTCATGCATTGTGTAGTGGGGACGTAATCTACAACGGGAATCTAACGGGTGTCAAGCATTGTGTAGAGGGGACGTAGTCTACAACGGGAATCTAACGGGTGCCATGCATTGTGTAGAGGGGACGTAATCTACAACGGGAATCTAACGGGTGCCATGTGTTGTGTAGTGGGGACGTTAAATGCCACGGGAATCTAACGGGTGCCATGCTTTGTGAAAAGGGGACGTAGTCTACAACGGGAATCTGATGGGTGCCATGCATTGTGTAGTGGGGATGTATTATGTCATGGGAATACAACGGGTGCCATGCATTGTGTAGTGGGGACGTATTATGTCATGGGAATCCAACGGGTGCCATGCATTGTGTAGTGGGGACGTATTATGTCATGGGAATCAAACAGGTGCCATGCATTGTGTAGTGGGGACGTATTATGTCATGGGAATCCAACGGGTGCCATGCATTGTGTAGTGGGGACGTATTATGTCATGGGAATCCAACGGGTGCCATGCATTGTGTAGTGGGGATGTATTCTACAACGGGAATCTAACGTGTGACATGCATTCTGTAGTGGGGACGTATTATGTCATGGGAATCCAACGGGTGCCATGCATTGTGTAGTGGGGACGTATTATGTCATGGGAATCCAACGGGTGCCATGCATTGTGTAGTGGGGACGTATTATGTCATGGGAATCCAACGGGTGCCATGCATTGTGTTGTGGGGACGTGTAATGCCACGGGAATCCAACGGGTGCCATGCATTGTGTTGTGGGGACGTATTCTACAACGGGAATCTAACGTGTGACATGCATTCTGTAGTGGGGACGTGTCATGCAACGGGAATCCAACGGGTGCCATGCATTCTGTTGTGGGGATGTAATCTACAACGGGAATCTAACGGGTGCCATGCATTGTGATGTGGTCGGAAACGGTATTATGGTAAAAATTGTTACTGGCTAGGTTTAGGATGCTGCTCAATTGTTGTGTGTATCAATTTAATACTGAATAACGACCTACTGATAAAGTCAGAATAGCACAATTATGCGTTGTGCACAAATAACAACATTCTGGCCTGGAAATAAGACCCAAAAGGTGATACCTATTCAATTGTAAAACTAGTTAAGTAATTCGAGACGGAATCAATGGTCTTTGATGGTCAAAGTGACAGATGGTATGTGCTAATCCGTGTACATGTTATATAAATACACCTCTTTTCAACAATTTCTGCAACTTGTATAAGCTAGATTATACATGTTCATCTCATTAGGCGCAACCTAAATCAAAACATTGCTGACAGATATTCATTAAAAATTGTTTTATTAATGCCACTAAGTTGTAAAATATATCTCTTGATTCATTCCTACCTGCACTGACAGCTATAGAAGGCGCATAGACAACTATCGATGTGTAGACAAGCTGTGAAGAAAACAAATTTCGTGAAAGATCAGCGTCTCTAATTTCTAGAAGACTAGTGGGGACACCATAAATGACGAATGGGAATCGAAACCGGACATTTGGTGTGGTGAGTAAGTTTTTACGCCGCTTTTAGACATGTAGAATAGCAATATTGATAGGAATGGTATTTCATGCGGCCAACAAACACTTCCTCTTCTCTGCCTCTTTAGAGGAAATACCTCAAATATGCATAAATTACCTCATTTACTTAATGAGAAAAATGTGAGTGATTCTGATGAATAGTCTGTTTGTCGCAGATGTATCAGTTCCTGGCTCAGTTCTTCACACTGACACAATGTGCACCCGCATGGACATTCCTGGGAGCTGTCTAAAAGCTGGATTACACCAAACTAACTATTGTTTTCAGTTTAGGTATCCGTGCAGTGAGCCTTGTAAAACATACACTCAGATGTGGTGAAAGCCAATATCTCAGTCTATTTCGCATTTATCGGCTGATTTGTAACTTGATATTAAAAAGCATGTGTGACTGTGATTACCGAATGGAAGAGGTAAGAAATCACCACAACTGTCCGGACCTTCTTGTCAAACCTCATCTCCAGGTACTGAAAAAGAGAAAGATCCGGGGTAGAATAGGTCTTCAGCAAGCCATGCCTGCCATATAAGGCGACTATGCTTGTCGTAAGAGGCGACTTACGGGATCGGGTGGTCAGGCTCGCTGACTTGGTTGATTGCGTGGATCGATGATCATGATGTCAATCACTGGATTGTCTGGTCTAGACTCGATTATTTACAGACCGCCGTCTCATTGCTGGAATATTGCTGAGAGCGGCGTTAAACAACAAACAAACAAACGAAAAAGAAAAATGAATACACATGTTTGAAGCCGTACAACAATACCACCAGATAACATTTTTATCCCGAAATATATCTTGTCTGCTTTTGTACAGATCTCTGGTCTGTTTGTTGCAGACTCCATTATCCGACTTTCCTTCAAGGTCTCTAAATAATGTTGCTGTCTTGCTGTCTTGCTGTCTTGCTCCTCATCATTCACCAAGGAGAACACATGACACCGAACATTAGCGTCACCTTTTTACAAGAGTATTTCGGGAATAACAAAACGGCTTAAATTTGACTTCAAAATACAGATTCAGTTCCAGACAGATGAAATTCAAGGTAGGTGAGTAAAGCATACCTGAAATACATTGGTGATTCCGAGCTGATAGAAGAAGGGCAGGAAAACTCTGGAAACTACCCAACAACCAGCAGCAACAGAAACACCAAACCAGAACAACATGGTGTTGCTTCTGTACACCTCCGCAGGCGCTCCCAGCAATGATAGAGCCGAAAGGTATGTCACTAATAGAGACATTGACACGGGGATGTAGTGCATGCTGCGCCCACCTAAAAGGTACTCCTTTATGCTGTTGTTGTGACGGTCTTTGATGACGTAGAAGGCACCGATGGCGGCAGAACACACTAACATGGCGGCTGTAATGGTGTAGTCAGCCACTCCGAAAGTTTGAATCTTTCCTGTGTCAAAGCTATACCTTCCTTCGGCCTTCATGGTGGGATCACAGATGTTTACTGGAACATACGAAACAAAGTGAACAGTATAGTAAGATTATACGTTCTTGTTATTAACTCTTCACATACATTTTCTTCACGTAAAATATTTTGCTGTGTTTTGCAGTTACGATTACAATGAACTTCATGGACATGGACATGGCTTACAAAAGTATAAAATAACCTCAATACTGAAATCAGTATCATTGATTTTCTATCAGCTGATAAACTAGTATACATATGCCAGGAATAAATACTTATTTTTCAATTTTTGAAAGGAGATATGTTGTAATTTATGAAACAGTACACTCAATTCTCAAAACCGACCTGAAGATGAAATGATTTTATATTGTTTGCAAAGTCCTGTTACTTATTTGTAGATTGTAAACGTCGAGAAGAATCAGTCCCGATTATCAAAGCAACTTTCATGGGCGTAAAAGGCAAATAGCGGTATAAAAATTATGAAGGTGTTCCCGAAATGGCTTATTATTTGAGTATGCAATAGAACATATAATCAGTCGACTCGCTTCGTTGAGAGAGCCTCAAATTAAAAAGAAGGTGATCTTGAGGGAAAAAAAGTCCTGTAGGACATGTCCGACAAAATATTATTTGTAACTTGGAAATCTGTACACCGTTACAGGAAACAATAAAAACGACATAAATAATTTAAAGAATTGAGATTCTGGAGAGCAAAAACGAAACCAAATTGACAAAATATGATAAATGGGTTACTTATTAGGTTAAAAACAAAATATAGCGTAAAGGTTACGGTGAAAACCATTTGAATAGTTCCTTTTACTTGAAGCTCGAAATGTCCTAAACAAAAGCTATTGCAAAACTGCAAACGATACAGAACTTATAGTCACAAGAAAACACTGATCAAAACTAGACCTTAATTGTCTCGATACTAAACCTAAAACCTAAAAAGCTATGTACCAATTTTATTCATCGAACTTAAATCTAAACAACAACAGGTGCTTGAAAGTTAAACTAAAGATATCGACGCTTTGGTGACCGACCTTCACGCTATACTATCGAATTATATCATAAGTATCATACAAGCTTTGTCTTTGATTGATTATACTACTAATACATCCGGGTTATGATAAAAGCGAACTTCTTGTAAACAGAATTAAAAGGTCTCGTCACATGTATACAAAAATATGATCAACCAAAACAGTTTCTAAAGCATTTGTGAACAAAACTTATGTCTCTAGTTAACGTCTAAAAAAGATAATTTCGGCAACTTTTATCGAATATAAGGTAGCTACGCGATAAATCTAAAAGAAATAAGAAAAACTAAGCGTGTTTTTTTTTCACGATAAAACATTGTTCTATCATGACGTCATTTCTGGAGATTCGAGCATGCGCTCGCAACTTGATGACGTCGTATATTTTAGACGACGTTATTTTTTTAGAGGGAAGTATCTAGTGATGTGACCCCCGTAGATGTAGGTGGACAACGTAGATAAACGCAATGGCCGAACGATCGCATCCAAAAGTGGGAGAGACATGACAATCAGTATTTTGAGAAAAGGTACAGATAATCGACGACAGTCGTCGTGCAAATTGTG